GGTGCAAATTACTGACCTCTGTCATCATTTTAAGTGGGGGAACTTGCACAATCGGTGGCTGACTAAATACTTTTTTGCCCCACTGTATATGCCAAACAACATTACCTTACAAACGCAGCGGCAACCAGTGCACACAAAGCTCCGACTAAGAAAAAGGCAAACTTTAAGTTAAAAAAAAATCAGGAACACCTGGCAAGGGGGGCGTGCCAGATCCGGTCACCATGGGTTAAATAATGTTTTCTTTTTAAAATCATTAATCACGAAGTCAGTCCTTTCTAAAGCTCAGAACTCACCTCCCAAAAGCTTCACACATCAACAACCCTGAAAGTGGTTCTACTTGACCCCAACCAGAAAAAAATAAATCCTCTTATAGCCTGATAAGTTCCAGAAAAACGACTTTTTACTTGATACCAGACTGAATTGTCCATATTCCACATTTTTTCCTCCTATTTTAAATAAGAAAACTTTATTATTAGTGAAATACAGTATTTCTGAGCAATATCCATTATTTTAAAACCACTGCATTTTACTGAAGCGACATATATTTATTGATTATTAGTGTTTTGTTTATTTTTTAACAGGGACGGTGTACATTAATAAACATCTGTAAATATACACAATACAACTTTAAATGTACTAGAATTAGCCATAGGTTTTAATTTGTAGACCCTGGGCAGATTTTTAAACAACCCCCCCATCCATCCATCTTCTTCCCCTAATCCAGGGCCAAATCAGGGGGGCAGCGGCCTAAGCAGAGAAGTCTACCTCCTCCATCTTATTCGGGGGAACACCATGGCATTCCCAGGCCAGCTGAGAGATATAATCTCTCTAGCATGTCCTAGTTCTGCCCCAGGGGCTCCTCCCTGTGGGACATGCACAGAACACCTCACCCAGGAGGCATCCTTGTCAGATGCCTGAACCACCTCAACTGGCTTTTTTTGATGTGGAGGAGTAGTCGCTCTACCCTGAGCCCTTTCCAGATGGCCAGACTCCTCAACCTATCTTTAAGGGAGAGGTCAGCCACCCTTCGGAGGATGCTCATTTCCGCTGCTTGTATCTGCAGTCTCATTCTTTCACTACCCAAAGCTTGTGACCATAGATAAGAGTAGGGACATAGATCAACTGGTAAATCGAGAGCTTCGCTTTTAAGCCCAGCTCTCTCTTCACCACAATGGACCAGTACAGCATCCGCATCACTGCAGCCACAGAACCAATCCATATGTCACCAAGGAATTGCTTATCTGCCTCAGTGACCTCATTCTCTGTGATGGACGACTTGTCCCCGCTCGTCTTCAGACTTTTGGTGCTGTAAGCCAGGGAGATGGCCTCCACAATCCAATGGGAGACCCCAGGTTTAAACGGAGCCCTACCTCTGGCTGGATTAGCAAAGCAGACAAATAACTGGTCAAATAAATACACATTCTGAATTAATCAACATAGCAAACGCAGCAGACACAGGAAATGCAGCCCAACTCCCTCAGGGAGGTGTCTGTGAAGCCATGGATTAAAGACTGGCGACCAAGTGCTCAACCTTGGGCAGTCACTCTGCACCAGGGAAGGGCCCTGGTAACCCTATCCCAGGCAGGATGAACTGTTTTCTAGAACTTCTACTCATAGGTGTTTTTAAAATGGTCTTTGTCTGGTCCCTGACCAAGGACTAGGGTTGGCAACTGTCCTGTTTTAGCAGGGACATCCCATATAATCAGCAAAATTGGTTCATCCCTTATTCTACTTTAAATGTTATGTATGATCATTACATGCAATGTCACATATAGTGCATATTTACACTATGCCCAGCTGGTTGTGCATTGTGCTTCTGGTACTCCAGAGCAGGGCCGTGCAGAGACGTTTAAAGGGGCGGGTGCTCAAAGCTAAAAAGGGGCACATTGAACCAGGCTGAATAACAACAACACACATTCATCAAGAATCTAATATGGAATCGCATCATACTATATCACTGTTGTGAGGTGGCGACAAGGCAAAGCAAACGTAGCCTATGTTTTACCTGATGGGTACAATGTTGCTGTTGAGGGGTTTCTGCTGCTCCTGCTGGAGGGCAGGGCTGTGTTGATCTGAGACTGTAGACATTAAAAAGTCCATAGGAGAGATGGTAGCTGATTAAACAAGTGTCATGAGATAATAACAAAATGCAAAGATTGGTGACAGCGCTTGGAACCATAAGGCAACA